AGAAGTATTGCAATAGATTTCGTTCATGCGATAGAATTGGCTTTTATCAGAGCCTGCTCCTGCTGGTCACATCAAAACTGCTCAGGAGGAAAAAATTCCATTCCTTTGCAGCCCCCCTCTCCCTATAAATAGTGAGCACTTGCTCACCAGCAGCTGGAGTTTCGGCCCATCCTCAGAGCTCTCCAGGCTCCGTAAAAGCTGCCGCGGAATAGCAATTGCTGAAAGACCAAGGATAGTCATACGTGCTGAGGGAAAATTCCGACACTCTTTAGGCTTTGCTCAGTAAGATTATAAAGTGGTGTTGCAGTAGCAGATTAGCAAAGCAAGCGTTGCTCCACGGTGTTTTATTTTGTTTTGTTTTTTCATGAGGAAAGTTAAGATGGAACTAACTCACTGCTACAGCCCCTACTTCTAATTAAATGTGGGATTTAAAGAGACAGCAAGATCTAACACGGAGGCTACAAGCAGGAAAGAACAGAAACCGGAATCCTTTCACTGTCTCTGTTATTAATTCACCCATACGACCTTGAGAACATTACTTAAGCTTTTAATTTTTGATATTTTTGTGTGTGAAATATGAGAGATAATAACCCCTCCTTCCTTTATCACAGACAGGTAGGTGGATTGATTACATAATCCAGAAAAGAGGCTTTAAAAGAAAAGAGCCGCAGGCAGAGTTGGCCCAGTCCCACCTCCTCCCAAACTCAGGCAGGGATCAGGAAGGGCCAGCTCAGCATGCATCTAGGCTGAGCAGCTGCATGGACACCACCACCAGGGCACCAGGACAGCACAGTCCTCAGCCTCCCCTCTGACTTTAGGAGTGGTGGGGAGAGGTGGGAGGTGCTTTTTCCTGATCCTGTTATCCCACGGCTAACCAAAATAAGTGGTGTGAGCCCAAAATAGGGGTACATGCCTAAAAAATGCAGGATTTTGTAAATCAAAGGACACAGGTTGTACTCCTGTCACTTCCTGCACGATCTCTCCCCCAACACAAGCCCTTCCAAGAGTCTGTGGTCTGCCCCCATTTCCTTCCATTAGAAGGCCCTTGGAACCATGCCTTCTCTTTGCTGGTCCTTTATGCATCCTGGGTGCTCAATACATGTTTACTGAATGAAATAAAAAAGAAGAATGAATGGATTAATTCTTTCTCTTTGAGAGAGGGCTTGACACACATTTTATCCTACTTTCCCATTTCTTATGGCTGACAACATTTCCCTGCATTCTCCCGGCTGTGGACTGCCTGGGGCCAGTGCTTTTTGAGATACAGGATTTTGTCGGAATGAGGATCCTTAGCTGTTACTCAGACAACCTTCCTTTCCGTAGCATACCAAGTCTCAGAGAGAAGAAATGACCTGGATCTATGCTTTGTCTAGAAACTTCATTGTTAATATGTTAAGTGATTGATAATCAGTATATTGAAGGACTTAGAAACTTTTAGAAGCAAAGACATTTGCAATATAAATAACATCTGGGCATTGTGAAGAATAAAGAGCATACGCACGCACAAGGCAGCATTTGCTCCTGTGTTAATACAACTGAATTCAATGAGCCAGTCACAGAAAGCAAAAGGTAACCTTTTGAAAATAGGGTCGATGTAGTTTGGCTCCCACAGACCTGTTTGAGTCCTTTACAGGGTTACAGCAGCCCTTCCCGGAGCTCCAGGGGAGAGCGAATGTGCCCTCAAGGCATACAATCAAGACTTTCAGAGCTGTTCTCCATCTATCTATCACTCATTTGTGCTAATCAGTGTATGAGGGAGACCTTGGTCCTTAGAGATGACAAGGCTGGGACTTGGCTAGAGGAGCATCCTGCTCATGTGGACCAGTCAAAATTAGGGAAATAATTTAAGGCTTAAAATTAAGTCCACTGTTGGGAAGAAAGAACTTTCCTCTGCCCTTCAAGTTTCTTCTAGCTGGCCTAAGAATCAAATTGATGTGAGACATATTAACAGAAGGAATAAACAAAGTTTAAGTATATACATGCAGGCAAGCCATAGACATGGGTTCCAAAAACAGGGAGAATGAGGCATAATATGTCATCCTGAACTAAGGAGAAGGAAGTAGGGGGTGTGAGACTTCAAACAAAAAAGGAAGTAATTCACAGGAATTTGAAAAAAGCAAATGTTTGGTAAAAAAATTACATGATGGGCCACACAGAAATTATGTGTCACAGTGAGAAAATCAACAGACTGTCACATTCCTCCCTGTCTACCACACTTAGTTTATATTATAATATAGCATCTATGGTGATAGCTCTCCTCCTGGGGCACTTCCTCCATGTAAATTCTTTCTGTGCAGTTCGGGCATGGAGGACTGTCAGAGTCTTTTGGGCCTTGATGATTTTCAGTCCAAAATAATGCGCATGTCACAATAGCACATCTAGGGGTAGCCTGCCCTTGGTCCCTACGCCACCCAGCAGGGCGGGTTTGAGCATAATTCTAAAATGTACAAGACTGTTCTGTCCTTGCTGTCTTCCTTGTCTACTTTCTTTGCAGAGGTTGTCTCATCAACTGCATACCTTACCCTCTAGGGCCTGGCACCAGGCCCTCTCCAAAGCCAACTATACTTTTCTACCTCACACTTGATCTGCCCTCCCAAACATAACTTGCTTCTCCTGTATTGATGTCACTTGTGCAAAGTTAAAGGTTGCTATTTCAAATCCACTGACAATAGACCAAAAGAAGGGCTAGATAGTCAGAGAGAATGCCTCCTTCTTCTGATAGCAAAGTGAGACCACATCCAATCATACCACTTACTCTTCTCAAGTGAAGTGCAGGGCCCACTCTTCTCCCTTGTAAGGATATGTGCAGAAGGCCTCAAGCAAATAACAGAAAAGTCCTGGCATGTCCTCAAAACATAATTTTTCATGATAATACCACCACCATTTGTACACTGTCTATCAGGTATCAGGCCCTTCAAATATTTCCACCACCCTATGAGGTGTTACTACCCCCATGTTACAGATGGGAAAACTGAGGCTCCAAGACATTAGTACCAGCTCCTTAGTGATAGAGCTTGGATCTGAACCTGGGTCAGCCTGACTTTAACATCTATATCCCTAACTCGTACATTTTTACATTCAGCTGGACTCTGAGACAGCAGACTCATTCCAAGCGGCACTGATGGCCAGACAGTATCTTAATGTCGGGGGCTGGACAAAGCTATAGGGGTGGCCTCTTCCTTCTCTTCTGCATCTGACATTCTCACCTGTGTGGAAGCTGACTTCCTGCACCTTTCCTCTCCCACTCCCCACTCCCTTTAATCTCTCTACCTTTCATGGGTAGTTTCTGATCAAAAGGAGTTGATGGCTCTTTATAACTATCCTTTCAGTTTTCCTTTTTTAAAAAATGGGGAAAAAAACAAGTTCATATTTTAGCATGTGACTGCATGATTTGCTATAGTAAAAATATGAAACCAGAACAAAGAATGTAAAAGACAGAACCCTTAGAAGGGACACACCAAGCCTGTCCAACCATTGCAAAGCTATTTTACATGTTGAAGAAATCATGAACACCTCTAGCTACTGTGCCCTTGAAAGGCTCTCTGTAACTGTCCCAAGCAGTGGGACATTCTCTGTGCTCCTCTTGCACATAACACCCTTATGAATGTCCTGGCACTGACAGAGAAAAATGCTGGGGCAGTGGAACCAGCCTTAACTTGGAATCAGTCAAGTATTTAACTACTGAGCAGCCATGCGGAGTCAGTCAGCCTCTGTGGGCTGCAGCTCCCCATCTGTCAAGTGACTTCCAAATGCTGGTGCCAGGTGGGCCATAACCACATCACCTGAGGAGCTTTTAAAAGTTCTACTCTACTCTGTAACCCTGATTGAGTCTCTCTCAGATGAAGCCTAGGAATTGACATATTTTTAAAAATTCCCTGGGAGACCCCTGCCCATAGCCAGACTTGGGAACGATTTAAGTAGGTAATATCTATCATATCTTCCAAACTCAAAGAACTTACATTTTCCCTTATTCCACTAAGAGCAGCTGACAGCACCTCCAAGGTTCCTGGTATCACCAAGTGCACTCCAAACATGAGGTAAAAGGGATATTGGTCTCTATTGCAAACCAAAGACCCAGAGGATGGGCTTTGATGACTATCTGAAATCAAGCAGGGAGGGGCTTGGCTAAAAATGGGGTTTAGCTCTTGCCTATATACATGGAAGATAGTGTGCAGTTTACTGGAAACAGACATGATCTGTAACATGTTCTTCACAGATCCTGCTAGAAAGAATGTCTCCCTGTCTAAACAAAGCAACTTCCTTGCTTTCAAGTTTATTGACAAACAGAACCAACTTAAGAGTTTATGTTTTTATATTTGAACATTCTTGCTGAGCAAAATCTCTGTGATGATAACATCTTGTGGGGAAGAGGTTTTAGATAGCAAAATGCCAGACACTAATTCTTATCTTAGAGAATTTTTTAAAGAAAGAACTTGTATTACCTTTATGGGGTGAATTGTGTCCTCCCCTCTGCCATGAAAAGATATGTTGGAGTCTGAATCCAAGTACCTCAGAAGACAACCTCATTTGGAAACAGGATCTTTGCAAAAGTAATCAATTTAAAATGAGGCTACGAGTGTGAGCCCTAATTCAATATGACTGAAACCTTATAAAAAGGGGAAATTTAGACACAGGGACAGGCATTCATGAGAGATCATGTGAAGACACACATGGAGAACATGCCATGTGGCTGGAGTGATGCCTCTCCAAGCCAAGGAAACCAAGAGACAGCTGGCAAATGCCAGAAGCTAGAGAGAGACAAGGAAGGTTCCCCTGCGTGTTTCAGAGGGAGTGTGGGCCCTGCTCTCACCTTAACTTCCGGCTGCTAGCCTCTAGAACTAGAACTATGAAATGATACACTTCTGTTGTTTTAAGCCACTCAGTCTGTGGTACTTTGTTACCACCAATCCATTATGGATACAATTATCAACCTAGATTTTTAAATAGTAACAATAACAAAAATAAAGGGCTACAGATGAAAGAGTCAAATGTCTGTAATATTTAATATATTAATTTGGTTGAGCATATATTTAAATCTCACATTATATACAAAATATCTTAATTCAGAAACATTGCAATCCAATCTCACATTATATAACACAATATTATTCAGACTCTTCATAAACATTTTCAACATCACTGGGGCCTTTTGGGGATCATCTAACACAGTTTTCCAGAGCACATTCTTCTCCTGCCTAAAGCACTTTAAAGTCCGTACCAGACACTGTCATTGGAAGTGCTATCTCATTTTGTATTTGTCCACTTAATTCAGATTCATCATGGCTACAAGTATAACTATTTACCTCTATTGCTTTTAAGTGATCTTTAAGAGTTCATTTACAATGGTATATATATAACACTTAACAATTGTGAGGTCCTCCTTCAAGAAATAATAATAAACCATCTGTTAAATCTCTTTGCCTCCTTCTTTACCAATTCTATGAGGAGACCCTCTGTTCAAGCTCCCCAAATTAGGGCTAATTGAAATTGTTTCAGGGTACAGAGAACAGTTTCTTATTAAAATAACAAAAAATTTTAGAAGAGCTCCTATATAAGGAGACCTCTCTGCTCTGTGAGGCCTGACTTGGAGGCAATAAAAGCTTTGGCTTCAAAATAATGCCACAAAGACCAGATATGTGGGTGGAAATGCCTGAAACTACCTAGTGGTAATTTCAGTGATGAAATGATTATTTTCAGGGATGAAACCAAAACTGAACCTATTATTTTTTAAGTTGTATTTTCATGTTTATACTTAGATAAGCAGGAAATCCCTGAGGAAGCTTTTGAGCCACCAATTAGTTATGATGTGCTTGGACCTAGGTTTTGCCGATGAATTCTCTCCCCCATGTTGATTCTAGCCTCTAGAATTCAATGCGTGGAGGTGTTGACATCAGCACCGCCCCCCAACCCCTCTCTGCTGCATGTAGATCTGCAGGAATGTGCCTTCAGACAGGCACAGACCTGCCCAATCAGTCATGAGTGGCATGACTTTTTCTGAAGCCTCAGCCCAGCAGATGCAAAACTGAGGCAGGCCATGACAGCTTCTACCCTGCTCTCAGAGTCTGCCACACCCCTGGCCCTCCTTCCTCATCTCCCTCTGATGGCAGCTGCTTTTCCTCAAGCACTAACTAGTATTCAAGATAGACATTTAAACTGTACTTCTCATTCATTTTCCCTGCTTTGTTTCCTGGAATTTCAACATATTTTTTTCTACCGAACATTGTGGGTTAAATAGGTTTTTTGTGGACTACTCTGGGAACATTGTTTCCAGTGAAAATGCTTTCTGTGTTGGAAACAAACATGGGGAGCATGACCTCTTTGTAGAGCGGGGACTTGCCTGTCTGGCCTCCTGTATCAAGAGTTAAAGGCTACCAGTACTCTTTTCAAATCGGGGCAGCCTGTATTTTAAAATATGTCTCAATCTAGAATGGAAAACTATGAATCTGGCCACATGGGGGGTATTCTGAGAAACAGACTGTTTTGATTTTTTTTAAATCATCCTCTTTTTAACTGGGAGGGGAAGTGTAGAAATAAAGTGCTGTGATTGCCTTTTCCTCTTCAGGAAAACAGCAGCCCGCTGAGGAGAAGGTGATAGGAAGTGATTAAAGTGTTCATTCACTTGACAAAGATAATCTACTTAATTAATTAAATCCTTCAGCAACAGTCTACTAAACACCTCTGTCCATGTGCTGGGCCCTGTTCTAGGTATTCCAGCGAAAACAGGCAAAACAAACTAGGTCTATGGGGAGACTGACACTAGGTAACAGAATAAAACAAATACACAAAACATGAAAAGTAGGGACAAATACTGGGATGAAAATTAACCCGGGCAAGTATTAAGCAGACGTGTGGCTGTGGAGCTCCTTTTGGTTGGATGGCCGAAGGAGGCCTCCCTGAGATGGGACTTTTCTACTAAGACAGAAACCCAGCTATAAGAAGATACAGGCAAGAGAATTCCAAGTCAAGGGAGCAGTGTGTGCAAATGCCCTGACGTAGGACAGAGTTCTACTTTATTCCAGGAACAAAAGGGTCAGTGTGGCTGGAGTGCAGCATCTGAGAAGGAAGGAAGGGGATGTGAGCATTGCTTGCAGAGGTGGCATGGGACCAGATTATGAGGGCTTTGTAGCCTGGGGAAGATGTCTGCATCTGCTCCTAAGGGCAAGGACAACACTGGAAGGCTTTAAGCAGGGCAATGGCTTGTGTGATCTGACTTGAAAGGCTACTCTCCTACTCCATGAGAGGGCAAGAGTAGAAGCAGAAGCATTAATCAATATAATGACAGTCAGGACAGTGGTGTCCATTAGGTACTGTGCACTTAACATGTGTCTGAAACTTCTTAAAGTGTGTTACCTGCATGATATTGATTAATGCTCACAACCACTCTATGGAGTCGTAATTATGAGAATATCCATATTACACATAAAGGAAATAAAGCCTAGAAAAGTAAAGAAACTTGCCTCTAGCTGGAAGGGTTTTCTAAAAAATAATCTCCCTTCATGATGGTACACGTTAATAATAGTCATTATAGGAAAACTTTTTTAAGTGAGCAAACAGAAAAAATTAAATAACTTGAGATCATATTACCCTGCCTTAACATTTTGGTGTATTTTTCCAAATGTTGTGCTTTGCAAATATGTTATCTACTGTCCTCTAAAGCCTATGACTGCTTTTCTATACATAATTCCTAGAATACAGATTTCTTACATTTTTATTACTAGTTCTAAGAATACTGTCTACAAATCCATCTTGAATGACAGTAGGAAAAAAATGTTGAACTGTAATACATAGAAACAATATACTATTGGGTAGTTAACTAATATAAATTTTTAAGAATGGAGTTAATCGAAAAATTACAGAATATTATATAGCCTATAAGACCATTTTGTCTACCCTTATATATTTTGAAGTGTCTGAAAGGACATATACCACATTCTTTAGAGAGATTACTGCTGCTTGTTAGGGTTTCAATTGAGTTTTACTTTCTTCTTTCTGATACTTTATCTTTCTAACATCTCTACAATGAGTGTTTTTCTTCTACAAGTAATAAAGTAACTGGTGGCTTAAGAATTGTAGCTTAAGATCAGATTTCTTAAAAAATTTAATGAAGTTCTCCAAGGAGTATTTTTCTGTCCTCTTCTATGCCCACAGCTCAAAAGTCATCTGTCAGATGTAAATGGCTCTCATGATGGCCATATCCAGCCACCTGCTCTGCTGGGCCTGTTTGGATGGGTCCCTCACTGGCAGAGAACACGTCCTGGTGATCTGCCTGCACATGTCCCCCAGACACCTCCACAGCCAGCATTCTGCTGGGTACCAACAGAAATTTCTGCCCTCCACCTCAGCCATCATAGCCAGAAAAGCAAACTGAACAACTTGAGCCCAAGTAGTACATCATCTCAAATAAGGGGGATCACTTGGGACACCTCCATATGAGTGTACTCCAGAGATAAATTCAAAGCTCTCTGCCATCTGAGGTCAGCTATGTATATGCTCTTGCGGTTTTGTCCTTCACAAATCCAGCTTGTGTGGCACCATGAAATTTGACATAGAGCTTCCTCAGAACTTTCCTTTACTCAGACATCTTTTAGAACTGCTTCTCCACCATGATTTTGTTATTTCCCTTGCCTCTGTATGTGCTTCTTCATGGTTTGGGCAGCTATGGCTCCAGGCCCACTACCACTAGTTATGTGACCTCAGGCAAGTGATCAAGTTATTTAAACTCAGAGGTTCAGGTTTCCTCATCTATAAATGGAGGTAATAGTGTGTAAGGTCATTTCCAGGATTAAATGAAATCACAGGATGAAGCTTCTGGGATACAGTAGATAGTCTCTAAATGTCATTCTCTTCTCATTTCTCTCCTGTCCTCCCATGCCCACCCTCTAAAAGTTCTCATTACTCTGTACGAGATGTGTGGTATGGTTGAAGGCCCAGTAGGCCTTGATTTGAGCCCCATTCAGCCATGTTTTAGTTGCGAGTTCCTGGGCATGTCTAAACCACTATGGTCTGGGGGATTACGATCAGATACGAATAAAATCATAGATACCAAATTATTTTCTATTCAGGATAAAGCTTTCCAAATACTAGAAAAAAAATGACAAGAGAAATAGACCAGTGGATGAAACTGAACTTATAAATAACATAAATCCACTGTATAAATTTTCAATAAAACTATTTTGAAATAGGAAAGTTAATTGCAAAATACCCAAATCTTATACAGGATTGGTGGGAGGCAAAAGAAAATTGACTTGCCCCGCTCTTGTATCTCATACAACTAAGAATGATCTTAGCCTGCTTCAAATCACCACCTTTAGCCACACCTGAATGGGTAAAGATTTGAGGGAGAGGTAGTCCAAAGAGGAGTACAGGTAATATGGGAGAGGTGCCCCACCCTCACAGCTGAGCAATAACTAGGCTGCTCGCTCTGATGGGAAACCCATGCTCAGCCCAGGGTTGAGGAATGTCCAGATGCCAAGTAGGGAAGAGATGCCTGAAGCTTGCAGAGGACCTGCCCCCACAGCAGGGCTGCTCCATTAGCATTGTTCTCCAAGGAAACAGGGCTAGGCCTGCCCACAGGGTTGCTTCTTTATGGTCCTCTATCTTGAGTATGGGAACATTTGAGCTGGGCTTTTTAAATTTGGCAGAAAGATATTCCAAAATGTTGGCCACAGCATCTTTTCCTGGGAATTGATATATAGACGCAGCAAGGAGGATCAATAGGACCTTAAATGACCTAAAAGGACACTGAGCATTCAGGAAGACTGCAAGGCAGGTCCCCCAGCACAGTACATGCAGAGAAGGGATGGCTTTGTACCAAGCTTCTCTGGGTGTGGTCAACCTATGGGTTGAGGGAGTAATTTCAATGCCAGGTATCCCAGAAACACTGATCAATGCTGATTGTTTGTGGCTTGAGTTAATAGGGCCATGTGAATATTTTCATTGCTAGATATTGAGTTTAAAATCAGAGCCCTTTTGGGGCAATGAGGAGGACACTTTGCTCTCCAGGCATGTTACAGTAGATGGCACCTGCACCTCAAGGTGAAATTTCATAGCTCATCATAGCACAAGGCCAGCCTCTCTATTCCCTCACAGAAGAAAAATATCCCTGAGCTTGGTACCCAGAAAAACATGGGCAGCTCTACGACAGCCCAGGACATCTGTGTCTTAATAACTTGGTCACTTTACCCAAAGTATACAGTAGCCTAAGGAAGGTTAGGCCACTGTTGACAGCCCATGAAGAAAAAATGAGGTGCTTCTCCAAGAACCTGGGAACCACTTCACTCTCAGAAAGTTAAACTAGCAAAATCTGCACCCACAACAGATTTGACTAGAATTCAGCAGCAGTAAACCAAGACAGTGACTGAAGAATATGGAGATACCCCAAATTCATATCAACATGGCTTGACTGTAATAGCAGAAAGGTAGGAACAGAATGTGATTATGTGCAAATCTGCCTAATTGGCTGTGTAGGATGCTACGTGGGGTTTGAAGAGACACAAGCATGCAACAAAAGAAGCCCAAAGCCTAAGAAACTGGCAGGGTTATCTACAGAGGGATGGGTGGGGCCGGGAGGCACATCATGCTTTCAGGACATTGTGTCAGGAGTACTTCTCTTAGGGACCACACAACTAATTTCATTTATTCTGATAGGATGAGTATTCCAGGTTTTTGGTCATAATTCAGGTATGTACATCAGTCTCTGGGGGCTGGTTAATGTGAGTCCACTTAAGGAAGGTCAGGGTCTGAGCCTTGATGAATGTTGTGATATTTGTGATAAATAAGTCAGCTGGAAATAACTCTTCCATTCATTCTGTGTAAAGTAAGGCCAAAGAGTACACAAAGTAGCCACTCTCTGCAATGTTAGCTTTTGCATATGACTGACTACAGGATGCAATCATCTTAATTAAAGCCCAAGAAAATAATTTTTTAAAGCAATAAGATAAAATACTTAAACACATTTGGTTTTGATGGTAGTTGTATTTTTTTCAAATTTTTGCATCCTACTGCTTTTTGTGAAGTAATTTCTAAAGCAGTTGCCTCTGAAAATTATTTTCAATTTCTCTCTCTCTCTCTCTCTCTCCCTCTCTCCCTCTTTTTTCAAATTACATCACTCAGCAGCTTCACCAGACCCAAGCCTGACAGGGGTTTTCATATTCCATGATGCAAAGACCAAAAGAACCAGGCACACAACAGAGGAAGAATACTTGCCCAGAGTGGACCTAGACAAGGTCTGGGCTGCATTCTTCCTTCCCCATGTTCCAGAGCATCTGAATTTAGTTTACTGGATGTACTACAATGCCATTAACAGGTTGCAAGAACAGGAATTAAGCAAAGAGAAAAAAGGAAGCTTAATGTGCTGCGAGGTGTTTTAATGCCATGGCAACTATGATGTCTTCTCTATTATTTAATTCACTTCCTCAGGCCAGGTTATTCTGCCCTCTCCTGTACTTCCTGTTGCCATAATCAAATCAAGCCACCCTGAATCCATGAGTCCTTTTCACCGCTGCAGTCATGTCTATTTCCAGCAGAATGAATTTGCTCCCTCCCTTCCTGGGCTCCCAGACCTTCATTTGGTGCCCTTGACGTTCAAGTTGCTCTTCATCATGCTCCACATGCTGTAAATGCTTCCCTTTCATCCACGTCTCCTCCCCCACTTCCTTCTCCTTCCTGCTGCTCCTCTCCCTGCCTCTCCCTCCCGCTTCTGCAGATGTCGCTAACACAGTTAGCCACTTGATTAGTGACTCAGTGATTCAGAATACAAGGACTTTGCTTCTCCTGAGGCCCACGCCTGTCTTCCCAAAGGAAAATAAGGCCCCTTCCTGGCCCCCAGATCCCAGTGCCCTTAAGTTGAGATGACTTGGGACTCAGATATTCAGTCAGAGTTGCCAGAGCTTCTTCCCCTTTCTTTTCTTCTGTGCAAACCCTTCTGGCTCTTGGTGCTCCATTTAGCTTTTTCCCAGGGAAGGTGGACAGAGAAGATTTGACCTTAGAATGTGTGTAGCCCAACTTCCTTGCTTGCAGAAGGGAAAACTAAGGTCCAGAGAGCTTAATTGTCCAGTTACATGGCTAGTTCCTAAGGAACCGAAACAAATGGGGGGAAAATTCAATCGAATTGGCAAACTTGGTGGGGAAAAAGAACTTGTTAAGGAATGAGGAGTACCAAAATGAGACTAGAAGAGTCCCTTCACCCATTCCACACTTGTTCCCCTGCTGGCAATCATAGAACACAATCACAGCAGAGCCATAGGTCCACCAGGACATCTGCAGAGGCTCCTGCTTCCCAGGATCATGGAAACCCAGAAAACCTACCTCCTGGGCCCTCCAGCCCTACCAGCAAGGCAGGATAAGGAGTCAGTGACAGACAGCACTAGTGAATTCTGTATGAGTTTTAGATCCACTAGGATTCTCACAATTGGCTTAGCATTCATAGTGGTAAACTGACAGAATTGTTTCCCCTAAATGTAAGAAGGTGTATACAGTTCAAGATGCCTATAAAGATATATTTATTGCAAAAGCATCAGTCTCTAAGTAAGCACCAATCTTCTGTGGGGAAATACATGAGCAGTAAAAGGAATAAACTAACTCAGTATTTTGCTGCACCAGAAGAGGGACTTAGGCTTCCCAGCACTGAGTGTAAAGAGACGGAAATGTCCCTGGATGCAAAGGAAGCAAGCCTGAGCAGCTCGGAAAAGCTGCTCCTTGGAGTGAGCATGGCAAGTCCCATACCAGGACTGGGCTGGGTGTCCTGTGCAGTCCTGTTGCTCCCTGGGAGGGCCTGTTTGCGCTCTGGGATCTTCTGAGTTAGGAGCCCAGCGACGCTGCTGCTACACATTGATATGCAGAGCTTTACAAATTTTCTAGCCATGACCACATTGGTGGGGACAGAGTATGATAGAGGAGAATGGCAGGAAGCAAGTGGAAAGAGGGTTTGTGGAATGAGCTCTCAATGAAGAAAACTAGGAAAGAATGTCATGCAAGCAGATTTGGCTGTTTTTTTAAATCAGAAATAAAATCCTGTTTCTGTGGTTCATGTTTTAAGAGGATGTAACCTGAAGTGGCTCTTTCATCTTCCACTGCAGGAACGCCTACTCTGTGTGGCTTCAGAGCCGTTATCTCTACTGGAGGACTTCAAGTGGATTAAACTTAAGCCAGAAGATTTATGAGAGGTGTAGGCTGGGCTGGAGGACATCAGAGAGATCTAGCCTAAACTGGGACCTTCAGGTGGTCTAGTCTAAGCTGGAGGACCTGAGTGGTATACATCCTGAGCTGGGGACGTCAGAGTAGTCTAACTGAAGCTGAGGGAGCTTATACCAGAGTAGCCTAAGTCTCTTACCTCTGGGGAGAGGAATCTGGCCTGGCAGGGGTGGCCAGCAGGGGCCCTCTGCAGATGAGCAGCACTAGGACCCAAGTTTCCCAACTCCCTCCAGAGCCCTTCCCTCTATTTCTAAAACAGACACAGGGGTTTGAAATTCCTGCCCATCCCCCACCTCCCGTATGGAATAAGCATCTCAAACATTGTTCTCTTTCTCACAAAGGAAAAACTGAATTTAAGAAGAAACACAATATTCTATAACAATACCTGGTTTTTAAGCACAGAGCCAAAAGCAAGGCGTGGTCTCCCGGATACTTGAAAGTACTTTGAATCCCCAGTCTCATTCGTTGTTCAGAAACAAAATGGAACAACTTTCTTTGCTCCCTCCTGGTCCCTCTTCCCGTGGCAGTAGCTGTTCTTGGCAGATGCCCAGTGCGGCACCCGGTAATTCTACCGTACATTGTGTACATTTGCATCCATTTAACCAGCTATTTACAGCCCCCTTTTATCACCACCTGTAAGAAGCAACGCCATTATTACACTAAGTGTCTGGGCCGGAACCGGGGGCTCCATGATTTTCTCCACGGGAAGAGCTGAATCTGTGGAGTGGTTGGCACTTGGAGAAACAGGGAGACAGCTGGGGATACCACACGTACAGGGCGGGAGGAGCGAGAAGGAGGCGCGCCAGACGGAGGGTCCTTCCTCGTTAGCTCCGCTCGGCGGCTCCTTCTTCATTACCACCACCGCGAGGAGGAACCTGCAGGGCCTTCCGTGCGGCTAGTTTCCTGCCTGATAAAGAGGCGCTGCCATTTGGATTTCCTGAATTTCTGTATCACTCAAGACGCCCGACGATCCCGAGGAGAATGGGGACGGGGCGCCCGGGGGTGGCAGCCGCAGTCCAGTGGATCGGGGCTGGACGTCACCCCCTTGAGTCTGGGAAACCTGCTCGCGGATGTGATGCGGAGACGCGGGGACACCTGCGCTTCCCTGCGTGCCGCACTCGTGCAGCTCCGGGTGGCAAACGGGGTGAAGTGGGGGCGAGGGCGAAAGGAAGTTGAAGCGCTGGAGCGTCAAAACGCTGCCTTATCCTCTCCGCTCTTTGGAGGCGGCCCCGAGGGTGGGCTGGCGGGCACTCCGGGGAGGACTACCAGGTTGCCCCTGGCACACTTGAAGGTCGGAAGTTGTGAGCCCCCCGAGGGCGGGCGCCCGGCGGTCCCAAGCGCCGGCGAGAAGCCCGCGGCTGCAGGACGGCGTGGAGCACTCGCAGCGCACCAAACCGCGCAGAAGCAAAGATAAACCCTGAAGGGGCCGGGGACTGGCCGTCTGGAGCGCAGAGTCAGCGCGTACCCCGAGCGCCTTTCGGTTTAAGGAGCCTTACTTTGGGAAGGGACAGGGAACTGTCAATCAGCGAGAGAGGGAGAGCCCCGGCGCTGGGTGATGTCAGCGGATCATCTGCTCGATAACAAAGAGGGGGTGATACAGGAGAAAGTTGCAGCGGCGGCGCGGCCACAGCGGCACCCCGGAGCCTCGGGCAAGTGGGCGAAGGGAGTGGGGGACGACTGCCGCCAGCCTAAGGCCAAGGAATTGAAAGGGCTCTAGGGGGAGGCAGTGCGAGCCAGCCCCGACTGCCCCTCCTCTTCCTCCTCCTCCTCCTCCAAACTCGCTGGGTTCAGCCCCAGCGCTCGCTCAGCCGCCGGGAGCACCCGGAGGGACGGGAGGCAGCCGCGCGGCCCGGAGCTGGGCAGGGTCCCCAGCCGCCATGGATAGCGACGACGAGATGGTGGAGGAGGCGGTGGAAGGTACAGGCATTTCTCTGGGGCTGCGGGAGGAGGCGCCTAGGGCTCGGAACGCGGAAGGAGTGGCGGGCTGCCTCCGGCACGGCGCCCGGCCCCGCGGCCGCCGCTGTCCCTTGCGCGGGTGGCCCCTCTAACCGGCTCGGGCAGGGGCCGGACAGCTACGGCCATGCCGCCGGGAGCGCGCACTGCGCGGCCGGACGCAGGCCAGAAACCGGGCGCCGCCGGGCCGGGGCCCCGGGAGGGCACAGACGCTCCATCGCGCCCGGCCACTGCCTGCATCCGCCCTCGGAGTTGCAAAACGTGCCCCGCACTGTGGCCTTCCCCCTTTCAGGGTTGGAGGATGTGGTGCGCCAGAGGACAGCCCCTGAGACTGGTGGTCTCCACGGAGCAGCCCTCCGCCTGGGCCCCCCCGGAGCCCCTCTCGGGCGGTCAGCCCTTTCCTTCCGCTCGCCGCTGCCACCCGCCGTGACCGCGGCCGTGTCCGGGTCCGTCCCCCGGCGCAGCGCACAGGGCCGGACCAGGCACGTGGCAGCCGCGGCCGTAAGCGGTCGCTCCTCTGAAAGGATGGAATCATTGCAGGGGAACGGCAGACTACGATCCCGACCCGGGACTCGAACGAACGCCGACCTGGAGGCGGTAGCCTTCCCTTCCGCTGCCCTCGAGCGAACTCAGTGGAGCCGCCCCTCCCCCTTCCTACTTCCCAGCGCGGGTGCCGCCGCCACGCTGTGCAGGCGCGCCGCAAGCCCGGCCGAAATTGCTGGGTGGCACTTAACTTTCTGAATTCCATGCAGTTGGCTGTGGGTGATATCACCGCCTTGGTGTCGTGTTTCTCCGCCCCTTCTCTTCCAGCGCCCCTCCCCCGACTTTTCTTGCCACTTTGTTTTGCCGAGTTTCTCCACCTCTTTTTTTTTTGCTAGTTCTAAAAAGCGAAGTGGGGATGTTATACAATCTAGTTTGTATCATGAGATGTTCTGATGTTATGATTTTGTAACAGCGAATCCTGGAAAATACTCTTTAGTGTGTTTATTTATTTGATCCTTCCCCAGACAGTACGTCGTGATGTTTTGCAGTGTTGTGTGGTATTTTTCCAGAAATCCTGGAAAATACTCTTTAGTGTGTTTATTTATTTGATCCTTCCCCAGACAGTACGTCGTGATGTTTTGCAGTGTTGTGTGGTATTTTTCCAGAATATTTTAAACCACTGTCTAAGTAAATAATTTTTAGCTTTTGGTTGAATCTGGTCCCTATCTAATTTGTATAAACAAGTTCTCATAGATCGTAAAGGAAAACAAAGTGGGAAGCTGTACAAATGCACAAGGATATGTAGTTATAGCTACCTTGGGAGGAGAAACAAATTTTTATGTTTTCATAAAATATAACTGATTCCTTTTGCAATGCTTCCGAGGCCTCAGGGTGAGATTAAGTATAGTAATATTTCTGAATTCTCTAAAAGGTATCCATCCTAATATGACTGTTAAAACTTACTTCTCCATCCTGCTTCAAAGAGTGTTTGTTGGGGCTGTTGATTTAATTTCACAGTGTTATAAACTCCCAGAACTGTTTACCTACCTAATAAGTAAAGCCATTGTTGGAGCTTATTGGGGCCCAAAACGCTGATTGAGTCCCTCCATTGGAAGTCTGCATCCAGTTCCAATTATTGACTTCTTTTGCCTTCCTGTTATGAAAAATAAGTGAAAATTGCTTTCCTTAATTTATTAGGGCTTGCTCTCACTCTTCAAATGAGACTTCTTAAACTTCTACTTGTAAAAATTTAATGCAAACACTTAATCATCAGCAGTGCCCCTTGAGTTAAACTACCTCCCGCTTTGAAGCTGTTTAGAAACATAAGGCCCAGTTGTCCATGGTCCCTAAGCTTGTTGCAGAATGTGAACAAGCAGCTTTAGAAATGTGGTGGGTGTTTTTGAGACTTCCCAGTGGATAGAAATCAAGAAAGTTCTTTATATATACAAGAGTAGTTCTGTTATATAAGATGACCATATACTTTATTGTCCAAAATCAGAATATATTTGAGAATGAGAGGGGTCAGTGTTAATACTTAGGCTGGGACAACTAGCCTAAACTTTGAATGTTTGGGGCAATCTGGAACAAATGGTCACTGAGTTGTACCTAACAGTAAACAATTAGAGTAACACACAATCTTTCGAAGGCCTTAGAAACATCTTAGGCTCAAACTTGTGCACTCTCTAGAGCATGCATGTGCACACACAGTAAACTGCCCCAGTGGGCTTTTCTCTAGCCATTCTTGGCCTTTTTAGTGTCATTTGTAATAGTCTTTACTTACCATCTAATACATGCATGGGGGACTGATATAAGGCTTGTCTGAATATCTTGGTGTGGAAATACCAAGAAAACTAACCTGTTCTCAGTGGTCTCATTGTCTTAGCTGTTACACTCATTGCTGTAACTGTTTAGTTGTTATTGTGTGCAGGCTGTGTACTAAAAATTTCACACATATTATTCATTCAGTTTTATGATGTGGGTACTAATACCCTAATTTCATAGAGGAGGGAGAACTGAGGCATAGAAAAGTCAAAAACTAATTTGAGGACCCTCTGGGAGGTAGGATTCAGGCTTAGACCTCCAGAGTCCTACTCCACTGTACCAAACGATTTCCAAGTTTTTTTATTTTGTATTTTTAATTAGTCAGTTGAACATATGAACTACTTGGCAACTGAGTTTATAAGCAACAGTTCAATATTATGTTGTGGCCACTTGTCATCGATGTAACTCTCAAAGGTTGTGCGATAGTTCAGTGACTTTCAGAAAAATGTATTTGGAGAAGGAGAATTTCCCACCTCTGAACAGACATCCTTTCCCTTCTTTTCCTCCCTCCTTAGCAATTTACTCTGGGGGAAGAAATTGGTCTCTTCAGGGCTTGAATTTAAATGTCTTCTGTCACCTCTTGTACATTTTGGTTCACTGTCGCTTGAGTGAGATTCTAAACTCAAGAGAGGCTGAATCCCCAAGGGGTGGTGGGTAGGAAGGAGTGTTTGTGTGTTTGAAAAGGCAGGTTCCTTTGGGAAAGCAGCACGCCCTGGGCCTCAGAGGCCTGAGAACTCCTCCTGAGCTCCTGCTGTAGCTTTTTCAAAACTCTTGGAGGCTCACTGGTTTAGTGGGCAGTGATGTTTAGCTTTGGGAACAGAAATATTTATTACTATACCTATTTCTTTGTCTATTCATGGATACAGAGATGAATACAGTGTAGTTCCTAATATAATTTCAAATAAATGTATCATATCTGAGCAGATGAATTATAGTGGTTGAGAGGAAATAAAAAGTACTTCCAGTTACAGTAAATAGGGAATGATTTCCCAGAAGAGGCAGTATGGTGTTGATTTGAATTGAGAGGGGAACTGTGTGAGTGAAGACAGAGGTTTGAAATTATGCAGGCACCTTCAGAGACTAACCATTGGGCTTGCTGTAACAGGCAGCCTAGAAACACACATATGGAGGCTAAGGCAGGGGAATGGGGCTGTCTCAGTCCGAGGTTGTGGACTTCATGCTGGAAGCTGTGGGAAGCCGTGGGGCTCTTTAGAGCTCGAGAGGCTGGGGAGCAGGGCTCTGCCTGGGAAGATGAGTAGGCAATGGTTGAGCAGGTGAGATGCAGCTACAAGTTCCTTTGCTATAGTCTAGATATGCAGTTATGAGGGCAGGACAAAACAGAAAGGCCTGAAACACAGAGGTGACATTGAGGAGGAAGAATACTGAAAAGGGGGAAATACCAGAATCTCCAGAACTAAGGAGCCAGAATGAAAACAAGTGGCTCAGTGTTCCACTGCTCCAACCCCCTCACAATATTAAGGATATTTTTAACAGTCCCTCTAATATCTGATCCTTCCTGTCTCTGCTAAGACTGCTCGTGCTCAGTACTTTGGAAAACTGCATGCTAAGCATACTGGTAGCTCCCTCTCTGTGTGGGCCACACATTGAAATTATGACCCTCACAACTGATCACTGAGCTCTTGCAAAGAATTACTCTCAAAAATCAAATTATGTTTTTAACAGCCAGTACAAATGTATCATCATAAGGGCATGGTGATGAAAAAACAGAATAAGTTTGGTTTTTAATTATTATAAAATTATTTTAAGGGCTTCTGTAAAACCAACAATACCTGTAAGTGCTCTTGTTCTGAGGCAAGGCATGCACATATGTGCGCTCACACGCACACATGCATGCCCCACTCCCAGACCTGCTGTGAGTAAGCCTGAGGCAGTAAGCAGCAGGTGTCTGATCCAAAGGGAATTTCCTTTGCCAGGATACATCATTACGGCATGAAACACAGGCCCGGCTCTCATCAGGTTAAGGAGAAAGCTCAGAGGTAACTTGAGGGGAAAATTTTTACTTTCTGTTCAGTAGATAATGATCTTTAGAACAAAGTGAAAAAGTAGACTTGTGAAACTGGTGCATTTTTTCCCTTTCTCTAACATCTATAAACATTTAAAATCATGCTGCAGACACACAGCACATGAGCTGGCACAGCATAACCAACACAGAGTGGTCATTCAAAGGAGTTTTCCTTGTTGTCTGGGTCTGGTGGTCAACCTCAGTTTAGTGGGAACTGGCCTGGAAGGTGCTTTTTGCAAATTGACCTCAATCAGAGCAAGGAGTATTAGCGTTTTTCTTCCTGTTAGGGAGCACTTGGAAGGGATAAGAGTTTGCAGTCAGGATATGCTGTTTGAAGATCCTGGTGGTTCTATGAAAACTCTCTTAACTACAAAGCCTTCTCCCACTTCTCTATGGCGACCTGAGGATACCTACCTCTTTGGAGGTACATTCTGCCACCATCAGCAGGGAAGAAAGGCTGTTCTGCTAGTTTGCTCTTATCCATAGAAAAAAGGAATAGAAAGATTTGGGGCAGGGGCTTTCAGCATTCATTAACACATCTGGAGTGGTTAATGTGTTTGTGGGCAGGCAGCATTGACTTCCTCATCCAGAAGATTGGAATCTGGGAGGTTATTGTGAGGTTTAATTTCGATCACAAGAAAGCTCATAACCCGGTGCCAGCTGCATGGAAGGTACGCAGACTTTTTCATCTCTGTATGTCAATGTCCCTATCCATTAAGTTGACTATAACTGACCAGACAAATATTACATGATCTTAGTGTCAAGTGGCATGTTAACAAGAGTTGTACCAGCAGCTCTTCCAGCACAGATGTTGAAAGGAGATATGATGGCTTGGCCAGCAGTCTCTCCTCCTCCCTGCATTTCCTTCTATGGAAAGTATTTCCATTGTTGTGATTGTTTTGGTTGTGGCTGTTGTTCTAAATATAATGTTCTACTGCTGGAAAACCACTCGAGCCTATTAAATATACAAGGTGGAAGTCTTGAATGACCACAACTCTTACTGTCCAGTTCCTTTTAATCAATCACATCCTGTTAATTGATCACATCATCCTCCTTTTGGAAAGACGAGAAGAAAAGAGAACGAGCCAACAAGGGCCCCGCCATGGTCGGGTAGAGGAGGCGTCAGGACTCGCCCACAGCGAGCAGCCTGAACACCTGTACAACGGCAGGACGCGTCCTGCTTCTTGAACACGTGATGTCACCACAGGCGCAGCCATCTTGCCGCAGCCCTTCATGGCTCTCTCCCCCGAGCCTCAGAGGGTGATGGGATGCCTTTCACTGGCCTGTTGAAAGAGGCATCCACACACGTAGAGTGGATGTTCATGTTTTTGCTTTCATCTCACTTGAGTACTGTCCCTCAAGTGCTTTTGGTGAGTTATATGACACTTTCAATTTGCTCTGATATCTAAGTTCCATTATTGAGGGCGCACCTGCAGTGTTTTATTCAGAAATAGGGCAGCACTGCTGTGCGGAGGCAAGGAAACAGTGTTCATGTTTTTCACATTTCTCTTGATCTAAAGTAGAATAACAAATTTAATCGAACGTAGTATTTTGAAATATGTGAGCTCAGAGAAAGCATTTTCAACAAATTAGTAAATACATCAATATACACCTAAAATAATTATTCTGATATTCCAACCTAAGTCAAAAGTAAAATGCTAAATTCCTAGGAATGTTAATAGCTAAATGTAATTTTATCCCAACAAATTTCATAAAAGAAAGCTTTCAGCTTTACACTGAGTGGTTTTTTTAATGAAAAGAAAAAAGTAGATTCAATTTATTTCAATGAGAGAAATGTCTTCAGTAGATATTTAGAAAATAATTGTTCAAGTTATTTCATATGACTCAAGTGTCATTGAATTATGCCACATACAGTTGGTTTTTGAGCAAGGAGAAAGCATTGATGGCCTTATTTCCTCCCAACTATTAATTTCCTGGCCCTTGACAGAAAAAATTTATGTTAACAAGAAAGGAACCTTATCAGTTGTGATTTATTTAAGGAGGCATGTTTTATCATGATATATTCTAGGTAACTCATTCTATACAGAGTCTGATGTGGCAATGGTACAGTGTATTTGTTCATTGTAATTTTATGTTTATGTAAACAATAACACAAATAAGGAGTTTTTTATTCCTTATTAGAGTGCTTACTTACCATCTCTTCTGAGGGATGATACTCCTTTATCACTTTACTGTTGAGGAGACTAAAGCATTTACTATGGTGGTATGGTTTGTGTTTTATTTTATGTCTGTGAGCCATCTGGAAGCCACATTTAAGTGTTTAATGTCCCTGCACTGCACACAGTGTTTAATGCTTTTATACCTTTCTCATTCATGACTCAGGCTGTTATTAACCCAGGAAAAAGCCAGTAGATTAACTACTGCCTTCATTTTCACTTACCTCTGCAAAATTAGCTCGCCAGAATAAGGGAGACACCATTAAGGTGATTTCTGGGTTTTGTGGAATATACAAATAGTTATTTTAAAAAACCCAAACACTGACTATGAACATAAATACCACTTGGCGACCCAGGAAGAACCAACAATTTAAAGATCACAGTGTGACAACTGCTCCTGATGTCCAAAATCATGGCTCAAATGGCCATGTGGAGATTTCTGATCACATTTAAAGCCACAAGCCCTCTGAACACAGTGGTACAGGGGATATGATAGTGTTACTGCTCAACATTCAAAGCTGAAAGATTTTGTAAAGTAATGAATTAAGTTCAAGCTTAAGCTTAAGTTCAAGCTTACAATGACTCTGAGGTTCATGTGTTAGTACAACAATGTTTATAAATTAGGGCAGTTTTAGACACATGACTATGTCCTTTGTTATTTGAGTGTAACAAACAGCATTGGGGTTTTTTAAGTCAACTGGCTCGCAGTTCTCCATACCTTATTGTATAAGGATATATAAAATCATATTGTATACTTAGTTCTCGAATTAGGTGACTTAATGCAAAGACAATGTATCTTTCTAATAGAGCATAAAGATGCTCTCATAACCGCATTTCAGCTTGACATGCATGAAAGTTTTGGAGTCATTAATCCCGAGTAGGAGAAGCATTATGTGGCGAAGTACTTGGTAAACTGAAGCATGTGCTGCAGATGTTCTGATAACAACACTCAGTCTCCAGGAACACACAAGCTTATTTTTGGTTCCTTTCTATGTGTCTTAAGTCCCTTTGTTGTGGACCAGCCCATTCACAAAGTGTACATAATAGTCAAGTTGATACTGCTGATACAGGCAGAGAAACCTTGGCATTTCCTTGTCCCCTCAGGCCTGGAGGGGCATGTGAGCACTGGTGTGGTGGCAGAGGAACATTGAAGAGGTTAAGGTTTACACTGTGGTTCCCTTTCCCCAGGGCACCTGGATGATGATGGATTACCTCACGGGTTCTGCACAGTTACCTACTCCTCCACGGACAGATTTGAGGGGAACTTTGTTCATGGAGAAAAGAACGGACGGGGCAAGTTCTTCTTCTTTGATGGCAGGTAGTGCTTGCAGTTTTGCTTTGTTTATGGCAGGGGTACCAAATTACTTTATTGAAGGAATGATACAAATGAAAGAATTTAGGTGAATGTTTTGGTACAACTTATAAAAAGGGAAAAGTAACCCCAACATGTGTGTCCTGCTTGGGGATGGGGCAGCTACCCCTGTGGCCATGGGGGAGCCAGCCTAGAGCTCAGCTCCAGCATCACTGCCTCCTAGGGTGTCTTGTCAAAGCAATATTCTGCTGCGCCAGACTCAGGGCCCCCATCTTGCACAAGTTAGTTACATGGTCTTTGGTGGATCTCACTTGCTCATTCAGGCAGTGAGTCTCAATGAAATCACACAAGGCGGGATCATTTTTGTTAGCAGCCAGTTTGGCCAGTTCCCGAAGTAGCTAATTCCCCATTTTCCAAGTGCAGTGCACGCCCACTCTCCGAGTCGTCGCTCTGGTTTCTTTGTGTCCTGGAAGAGGATTTGGTCACCTTGTTGGTTCTGCAGCTTCTAAATTTTCCCAGCATATCCCCCTAACTCATGAGATGGGTCAATAAAATATTTTGCAACCTTTTCAAAGCCACATGATCACGGTGCAAGGCAGTGAGACACAGGAGGTGTTACAGCTCCAGACTCGCAGTGTTTGAAATGCTTGTTTTGGCACGACTGGTCATTATGTGTGATACCTTAATGCTGGGGTCCAACGGATATTTTCAGGGCTCTCTGTATTTCACTTTCGCCTCCTGCATGAGAACACAGTGAGGCAGAAGTTGCCTACCCTCTTAAGGCCGGTGACAATGATTGAAAAAGTTTTCTCTTTCAAGGAGAGATGGAGTTGCCCAGCTTTCCAACAATGACTTTTAAACCATGTCAGCTTCAGAAATGAAGAGTGGCCATATGAATTTCTCAAGCATTTAGAAGGAATTCAGAGTCATGGAAGGGGCACTCCTTCCTGACCAGTTGATTGGGTAATACCAGAGTGGTTAGCTAGAGCAGGTGATAGGATCCTGTGGGGTATAGCCCCACTCACTAAGCTCTTGACATTGGTAGTAAAGCAAAACTAAACTTGGGAATTCCCCTGGGGAAGGGAATGTCTAAGCTGACAGTTGAAGGGTGATCATAGGGACTGACTTGTGAGCCAGAATCCCTTTTTGGTACATGGAGTGCGTTGTTTTTAAAGATACTAACATTTCCTCAGGCTCTTGATAATCTAATTAAGGAGGGATGAGGAAAACAAAAACTCATCACAGGATTTTTGTGAAATTTCATTTTGATTATTAATTGCAGCCTTCTCTTTCCTATTGTCCTTAGTCCCACATCCCATGTCTTTTTAGCAGAGCTTTGCCTACAAATTGCACATTTTAAAGCTCAGATATTTTACTTCCTGTCTTTTTTCCTGCTGTGAATACCTGGTAGATACCAGAGGCACATGAAGGACTCTTTCAGGATTTGGCATGAGTGACTTATCTCATGACCCCTGTAACCTGTCCAGAGGGAAACTTCTCCTGCCTCATTCCCTTGGCAGTTTGTTTATGGCTCTTTTCCAGAAAGTGTTACTTTTTATCTCATGCTGCAATTATTATTTTATTCATTCAAGAAATATCTATTTATGTAAATGTATTATTTCCCCTACAGGACAGAGGTTTCTTGAGGGCAGAATCTGTATCAATTTTATCTTCTATGCTTCATAGCACTTTCCCTTAATTTGATACTAAAAAAAAAACATTCTTACTGAATGAGTATAAAAGGTGTAGGAAAGAATAGAATTCACCCAGAACACACACACACACACACACACACACACACACACACACACACACACTCATGCTTTAAACCTAGGATTTTGATGAACATACCCAGTAATTGATTGACTTTGGGAAAACAGTCCAGCAGGTGTGGTTGAATTTAGTGTTGGTAACCTCCATGCTTCACAGACCTGATCCACAGAGTACTATAGAGTTAGACTGAGCTTCCAAACCAGTGTGCCAAGAATGAGCTACATGTTAGCCTCCAAGATACTGATCCTTTCCACCCTAGGGTAGCTGAGTGGGGCCTGAGACTAACCGAGCACCTCCTTCCCTCTGTCAAACTAGTTACTTCTGGCTCCAAGCAGCTTCTTCCATAACCCCTATGTGCCATACAAGAGGAAGTTGGCTTGCATGCCATGACATGAGAAAGCTGAAGCACTTTCTGTTGAAGCACTAGGCCAGTTACTATCTATGGGATAGAAATAAATTCATTGACTTTTTTTGAGACTCTAATTCCCTAGTTTTCATACCTACCACTTAAACAGCTATAGAGATAGATGTAGGTCAAATAGCAGACTCAAAGAATGGTGGTATTAGCAAGGTATTACCGTCTTTCTTAAGCCCAATACTGATCAAGTTATGACATTTGCTGAACAGTTTTACCATAAAAAATTAATAAGATAGATTTTTAAAAATTTTTTAATAAAAATTGTTAAGATAGATAAGATTTTCATATGAATAAAAGGCAGTAGAATCTAGGTCTTTCTGTGGGGGACTGCAGTATTTGGTTGTGGAGAAGTCAGTTGTTTCGACATTAGACAGCACCTTAAATTTTTTGTCTACTAATTTTTCTTCGTATTACTGTTCCCAATTTTTAGGTTCTGATATATCAGGTAAGATAAAATAGGGACCCTGTGCTTTTTCTACCAATCAGGAGGCTTTGGTCTGGAAAAATTACTCCTGAAAAAGCTGAGATCAAGATTTTGAACAATAGATGAAGAAACAAAGTTGCTGTTAGAATTTTAAAAAATTGTTCAAACCTACAGTGCTGGCTTATGTTCCCATCAGAGAATTCTTTGCAACTGTAGGAAACTGTGTTTGGAAAATCACAAAGTGTAGTGACAGAAGATTTGGCCTGATACCTTCCAATCTTATATAAAACCTAAAGCTGGGTGTGTGATTTTTTTTTAGCCCACTTTATTGAGGTATGATCCACATACAAAAAGTTCTACATACTTAGTGTATACAACTTGGTGAATTTGGAGTTAAGTATATGTTTATGAAACCATCACCCTAATTTATGCCATAAACTGTGTATGTGATTTATGAGGTTTCAAATATAAATTTATATCAAGAAAATTCTAGAATCCATTTTCCCTTTCCATAGAATATGATAAACCTGAATAGGAATTGAAAATATTCAGGTCACCAGGAAAAATGGCCCTGTCAAGTTTTTTAACCAAGTTCCTAGATAGAAGCAGAAAATTTTATTTTAATATTACATGTGTAGCAAATAATTGGTAGAATAAAAAAACTTCAAAAAAATACAGAAATGTAAAAAGTGAACATGCTCCCTCTTCTTTTTTTACCCCCACCACCAGGTCACAGAGGGAACCACTGTTGTCAGAGAGAATTTAGGCACTTTAATTAAATATATTCAAGTTAAAATAAGGAAATAGCTACCTATTTCTAAATCATTTTAGGTAACCAAAATTTTAGATAGCTATATAACTTTACATAAAACTTTAGCCATACAAACATTTACATAGCTAAGTAAGGCCTTTTTACTAATATCTCAGCTTCAGAATTTTTGCTAGTTTTGAGATCTTAGCCAACAGTTAGCCTTTACTTCATTATATGAGAAAATGTAGAACAGAAAAGCTGTTATTACAACCAGCTTATTAAATCAGTAAACCAAAAGTCAGACCACTTATCCTTTTCCAGTTTATCCAATAAATGAGGAATAAATGGGAAAACTGACCTTATTTTTTAAATTGTCTTTTCAAGCAGCTATTATTTTCCATTTTCTCCCCTTTTTAAAGAAAAGAAGGAAATTGTCCTAAGATAAAGTAATTGGAACTTAACATCTGCTGTGGTTCTGAGATCGAGGCATTTAGGCATTGAGGAGAAAGGAGTCCTGAGGCTCTGTAGTGTGGCTCTGGAGTCTCTCTGGCACCTGTGAATTCGCTGGAGTGCTGAGGAGTATTACGAAATGTTTAGCATGCAAAATACTGTGACATACACATCTCTCCTTTGTATACTAACCCCCAATTCTGGATGTTCATTTCAATGATTTTTTTCCTTAATTGTTCTCTTTTCACCCAATTAAAATAAATCCTTTTATTTCACCCAAATAAAAGGATCACTCTGTGATCCTTTTATGCCTTTAAATTTATGGATATAAAGGCAATTTAGCAGCAATTCTTGAAATCTGATAATGGTAACAGGTATTTCAATGCTGACTAGCTTCAGGCCGTGTCACATTCAGGAATCATGTGATTTTTAGCTCGATTATGAGATATAGATGAGTTCATGCATTCACTTATTTTTTTTTATATTGATGCTTCAGCTTGACATGCCAGTTAGATGTCAAAGTATTATGTACTACTCGATGACTTCATTCTCCATCCCATTTTCTGACACTGATTTGTTAAACTAATGTGCCCATTTAAGAGGGCTTCTTGGCATTTATCGTTGCCCAAATAACCTATGTGAGGCTGTGCATCTGATGATTTCAAGCAGCTATTATTTTCCATTTTCCAGTGAGGAAGGCTGACATTTTCCAGGTCTATGTGGGCATTCTTTTGGCCTTTAGAAAGTGCTTGGTCACACGTTAGAGAAATTGGAGTTGGAATGGGCTTCTAAAGTCATGTATTCCAATTTCCCACACGAGGCAAAGGTCCCATCTTTGTTCCTGATAGCCATCCAGGTTTTGTTGGAACCAGGCTGAACAGATATATTCATCTGCATTCTAATGAACAGTTCTGATTCAGGCAAAAATTTTTGTGACATACAAGAAGGCAAAAGAAACGGTTAACTTTGAATACCTACAATTTGTTTAACACTGGACACGTTGCCATCATAACCATCTGTGAAGTAGATTTTATGATCCTTTTTTACCCATGAAGACCCTGAGGCACAGAGTGGTTAAATAACGTGCCCAGGGTCACCTAGTTAGTGAAACTGGAGCTGAGATTCAAGCGAAGGTGACTTCAATTCCTGAGCCACCCTCTTTTCACTGCATCTACTAGCCTTCCCTGACC